TTCTGTTTAAAGATATAATGAACTAGGTGTAATTGAAGTATTGGAAGATAAAACCTGTAGCTTAGCAAGCTATGAGGGTTATAAAAACTGGAATAAGGTATGCAGCACCATGATGATACACTGAATTTTTGATGAGAAAAAAATCAGCAATACAAGCTCATCAGTAATGATCATTACAGAAGGAAATAGGAATTTAGGCATAGGACTCATAATAGAAATAGCAATAAAAATAGTTAATTCATGGAATTGAAGTCATCCAAATACCTGTGTTAATAAATGTGAGTAGATGAAACAATTAGTAGGTGAAAAAGCAGTTGATAGAACTACCATATCCCATTATTTTGTCTTGTGAAAAAAAAAGATAAACTGAAACTTTCTGGCCTTGATAACTTTTTTTTTCATGGTTAGCTGGCAGAAAATCCATTGAAATAAAATTTCACCAAATTTACTGGTTATTTTCTATAGTTTCACCTAGATGCTTTGTGCTTTTAAATTCAATTTCATCATGTATAGCAAAGCTAAGTTAAAAGAAACTTTTAAGTCAGACAAAAAGTAGTATGAGAAACAATATTTTCATGAAACTGATGAGAACAGAAAAATGCAACTAGAGCTGTGACAAAGTAGTTTATGGCCTGCCATAGACTGTGAACATTATTTTCAGAATACAAAACCTGAAAACAGAAATTATTTCCACATGCCTCTAGCTTTGGGAATTGTAATTCTTCATTTATACTGATGCCTAGGAGAGGCTTCCTGGAACAGAGGTTAGACTGAGTTATAAAATAAAGTAGGTATTTATTGAAAGACCTTCAAAGGGTACATCTTGGACAATGCAGGAGCCTACACACAAGATGCATGACGATCACCAGTTTTTCAAACAGATATCAATTTGGTTTGTTTGCATATCAGGGGTTAATTGTGCAATTACAACTCCAGGTAATGAAGTCACATTCCCCCAGTTTTCCCCTCCCAATTCACTTTTGTTTATACTTTTCTGGCCTGAAGCTGTGATGACCTTGGTTCCATCTCAGAAAGGATTGTTTTGTCTGACTAAGCTGTGAAGATACTCCATATGAAGTTCAGAGTTATACATTAATGCAGTACAGGATTTGAAAAATATAAAATCTAAAACTTAAGGCATCAAGAATATAGGTAGAAATGTCAATAAAAATTAATTATACATTCAGATACTACATAGTTCCTTCAATTTTATAGGGCAAAACATCCAAAGAATTCTTATATTATGTAGACAAAATACCTATTTTTTCTTTTTTTCTTTTTAATATCCACAGAAATTAATCTGGTATACACTTAAATTCCTATTTTAAAACGTTTTTCCAGAAACTATGTGTAAATGCAACACATGCAACTACTGTTTATTTAGGTCACTAGATACTAAAAATATTACTTCAAGGAGCATTTGAAATTCTGTAGCTGGAAGAATTTGCTTGAGGAATAATAGTAAAATACCATCTCTAAGCAAAGGTTGTTGGTACTCAGAAACCATACCTCATACCTTTAATTTGCCATGCTTCAGCAATGCTTTCAAAACCTTGGAAAGGCTTATAAGCATATTTGATTTTTTGCTAAAACTGGATTCTATAAAAAAATTCATTTTATTAGATTGTCACACAACAAAAACAACCTACTGCTTTTCCTTTGCTGCCTAAGTTTAGCTCAATAGAGGTCTTTTCATGCTTGCAAAATACATTTTTTATTTAAGTTTAGGATGTACAGATCTGAAGGAAAGATATTAATGATCACATAGTCCTCTCCTTCCTACTGCATCTCTCAATTTATTACAAGTTGAGTAGCCGTTTAATAATAATAATGATTTAATTTACTCTAAATTAAGCTGGCAGAAATTAAGAAATTTCCTTTTGGGTGAGGAAAAAATTTACCATGTATAGTATAAGATTTTTAGAGTTATGTCGAATTGCAATATATTTCTATGTCTTACAGGATTTTCTGCTATCTAGATGTTATTGGAAGAATGGTTTCCAGCTTTGTTCATGGAAGTATGATTCCTGAATTATTCTGGGGAGTCAACTGGCTACAGCGGGTACACTGCTGCACATGGCCCTGAATCTTCTCTGTGTACACAATATGAGTATGTAAGTACATGGCTTATTTCTTCTCACAACCAGAGTAATTCTGTTGTGCAACAGTTACTCAAATTATGGCACTGTATTTTTGTGTTGTGATTCTGTCAATGTAATTGTTTCTTAGGTTAAAATTTTGGTATATGAATTCTTTAAATGTGAGTTGAGAATACTGACAGAGTAGGCTGCTTCACAATTAATCATTTAGCTGCTTACAACTTATTACATCAGGTCAGTAATAAATTGGTCCTGTCAGGTTAATATCCAGAGAAAATCTTTGAGAAATAAATCTGCTTTAAAAAACATTTCTTCTTTTTACATGAAAACTGCATTTACATGAAAACAAGGTGGATCTGCTGCATTTACATGAAAACATAAAGTGGATCTTTGTAGATTTAAGAAATCATTTTTACAACATTCTCTTGGTACAGGGAGCCATCAAGTTGAAAAATATATTTTAAAATGCACTATGGTCCAGATAGATTGTTTTACATGTCAGAAGGTTGCACAGGAGGTAGCCCAAATGACATCAGTGCACTGATGCTTACTTAGCCTTTTGTAAGCTGTTTACAGGAGACTGCAGTGAGTTGCCAGCTCCTGAGGACAATGTTAATCTTCCATCAGTTCCTGGCATCAGGGACAACTTTACACACAACATGACACTAGTTATTGTTTAGAAGTACTGAGAAATTACACTGAAATTCAAATTACTTATCCTGAAATTACAAATAGTATTGACCTGCTTGATCTCTTGAGATAGTTGTATCTGTAAGGAGACATATTGATCAACTAGGAGTGTTGGTCTACATGGCAGGTGGTTGAAGTCAGCAGTCTGGGGCTTACACTTTACATCACACTGTGGATGTCCTTCGGAATAGAGAAATTACAAAAACGCTTTCAGTTACAGTCTTCTGTTTTATGGATTTAAAGAACTTTTCAACATCGGGTTATAGGTAGCTTTAGCAAACTGGCAAGCATACAGGAAAATATTAAATATACTTTTAGTATCCATTTTCAGGTAAAAGGCTTAAATAAGTATTTTAGGATTAAGCACAGATAAACCAAAGATTTACAGTAAAACCACAGAGACCAGCAAAAGGTACACACAGAATACAATATCTATATATGTTGGTGATAAGTTTTAATAAAATATAAGGTCACAGTAAATAAACATATGCTGCAATGTTAAACAAAACACAATACTAGTTTGAACTTGGCTGAATGAGATACAAAACAATTTATAAATAAAATAATTTTTAAGATATCTATCTGGGGGAAAAATGGCTGATTTTGAAGGTCTCACTGCAATACAATGCTTAGAAAAATATTTTAAACTGAAGCTATTGATACATACAATACTCTAAGACCTATTAAAACATTTTAGTTTTGCAAAAAGAAAAAATACATATTAAAAGGAACACAACTCTGTATATCTGGAATACCTTAAAGCTACTGAAGTGTGTAAGAGCATAAAGTACTAAATTCAGTAAATTTTATGGCTAAATATGCAATTTATAAACACACCTTTATTAGGGGGCAAAACAGTAAATGCAATAGTAAGGTCAGAAAGGAGATAAAAGGATAGAGAGAGAGAGAAAAGAGGGGGATGGGAATAGCTACCAACACAGGCAATAGCCTCACTGGTCCGGACGATGGGGATCCATCTTGTTGTGTTTGGGAGAGTCTCCAAAGTCCTGCTCAGCCCAGGGGTCCAGTATAGTCCACCAAGGAAAAAGGGGGGAACATACAGGACAATGAGAGTCTATTGAAATTGCTGCAGGGGAACAGGTGAGTCCACTGAAACCACCAAGGCAGGACAAACACAATGAAGAATAAGTCCATTGGAGTTACTGGAGGAGAACAGGTCATGTCATTAGTGGTCACACCACCACTTCCCCCACTCCCTGTGGTAGGGGTCTCAGTCTCAGTCCTTGGGAAGAGGGTTCTCGATCTCCATCTGTCACGGTGGTAACAAGGCAGATGAGGGGTCTTCAGTGAGAGACCACCAAAGTCACTTCAACAGCTCATTTGGCTTAAGGTGGAGAGTTGGGGTTAGGTTTAGGCTTAGGTTTTGGCTTAGGGTTAGGTTTAGGCTTAGGTTTTGTCTTAGGGTTAGGCCTAGGGGTTAGGGTTAGGGTTAGGGTTAGGGATAGGGATAGGGTTAGGGTTAGGGTTAGGGTTAGGGTTAGGATTAGGGTCAGGTTTAGGTTTAGGTTTAGGGATAGGCTTATGGTTAGGTTTTGGTTTTGGCTTAGGAATAGGGTTGGGTTTAGGTTTCGGGTTAGGGTCAGGGTTAGGGTTAGAGTTAGGAGTTAGGGTTAGGGGTAAATTTAGGTTTAGGCTTAGGGTTAGGGTTAGTTTTAGGGTTAGGGTTAGGGTTAGGTTTTGGATTAAGAATAGGATTAGGTTTAAATTTAGTCTGAGTGTTAAGATTAGGTTTCACCTCAGGTTTCGGATTCGGGTTAGTGATAGTTTTAGGATTAGGGTTACGTTTAGTTTTAGGGTTAGAATGAGGTTAAGGGTTAGGATAGGGTTAGGGTTTGGGTTAGGGGTAGGGTTAGGGTTATGTTTCAGGTTAGGGTTATGGTTAGGGTTAGGGTTAGTGGTTAGGGTTAGGTTTTGGCTTCCTTTCAGGCTTAGGCTTAGACTTAGTGTTAGGTTTTGGTTTTAGGTTAGGAATGATGTTAGCCTTATGTTTAGGAATAGGTTTTCGTTTATGTCTAGGCTCAGGTTTTGGGTTAGGTTTAAGAGTAGGCATAGGTTTACGTTTAGGCCCAGGCTTTGTCTCAGGCCTAGGTTTATGTTTCCGCTTCGTTTTAGGATTAAATTAGCGATAGGTTTCGTGTTAGGTTTAATTTTAGGTTTAGTGTTATGGTTAGGATTAGGGTTAGGTTCAGCCTAAGGGTTAGGTTTAGGCTTAGAGTTAGGTTTTGTTTTAGGGTTTGGAATAGTCTTGGCCTTAGGTTCAGGGTTAGTGTTTGATTTAGGTTTAGGTTTAAAGTTAGTTTTAGGTTTAGCCTTAGTTTTAGGTTTAGGGCTTTGCTTAGGGTTCATTTTAGTATTAGGATTAGGGTTAGTGATCAGTTTCGGTTTAGGGTTAGGGTTAGGGTAGAGGTTAGTTTTTGGATTAAGATTACGGTTCGGTTCAAGGTTAGGCTGAGGTTTAGATTTAGGTTTAGCCTTAGTCTTAAATTTAGGTTTAGGTTTTGGTTTTGCGATAGGAATAGGGTTGGATTTAGGCTTAGCATTAGTGTTTGGTTTAGGTTTAGGTTCAGGTTTAGGGTTAGGTTTAGGTTTAGGATTTGGCTTAGTCTTAGGTTTAGGCCCAGGCTTAGGGTTCATTTTTGGATTAGGATTAGGGTTAGTGATAGGTTTAGTGTTAGGGTTATGGTTAGGGTTAGGTTTAGGGTTAGGGTTAGGGTTAGGGTTAGGGTTAGCGTTAGGTTTTGGTTTAGGAATAGGGTTAGGTTTAGGATTAGGCTGAGGGTTAGGCTTAGAGTTAAGATTAGGTTTAGGTTTAGTTTTAGGCTTAGTGTTAGTCTTAGGGTTATGTTTTGGTTTTGGGTTAGGGTTAGGTTTTGGTTGTGGATTAGGGATAGGGATGGCATTAGGTTTAGGTTTAGTGTTTGGTTTAGGTTTAGTTTCAGGTTTAGGGTTAGGTTTAGGTTTAGGCTTTGGCTTAGGCTTAGTGTTCAGTTTAGGTTTACGATTAGGGCTAGTGCTAGGTTTAGTGTTAGGTTCAGTTTTAGGGCTGCTGTTAAGTTTGATCACCCCTATTTGATGCTGCTTGCAACATGTCAGATGTTTCTGCCACTTACTCTTCATTTGCTCTCTGATGTTTTCCAGGGAGAACAGCACATTTCATAAAGCTTGTAAATTTATATTCACAGTGGAAACAGCTCTTAAACTTCCTGTGCTATTTCCATGTTGACTAAATATTTTTAAAACAGAGCTTCAGCTTTTCAATAGTGGAGTGAGACAACGTACCCTTTGAAAAAGCTTCAGCTATACTCCGGAGAAGGGAAACTTTTTGTTAGTGGGATAGGAATATCAACTGTGAATGAAAAAGAAAGTCAAGGCAACATGTATCCATAACTTTATGTGTATCCAGTCTAAAGTATCATCATTCTATTATTTCAGCTGTGCAAGAAACCTGAAAGTAGAGCAGGCTTATAAAACTGAAATAAATTTTAATCTAAAATATATAATTTTACAAAGTCTTTCTGATGCTGCTTCCAACAAAATCATCACAGAAACTTTATTTTCTTTTTCATCTTGACTTTAAAATTCCAAATGAAATACATCTGCTTGCTGATTTGCCAGAGGATTCAAACTTGTTGTCTGCATATTTTTTATTTTCATTTCCTTCTATATAAAATGGAGGAAAAAATAATAAAAGGGAAAGAAACATTACAGAAAGAAGAAAACATAATGCTGCAGAGAGGAAATATATTGTTGCTCACTTTGTTATGTTCTAAAAACAAATTTTATTCTCACTATATCTAATCTGAGGTTTGATTTAGTGTATGACTTTTCTATTTTCTTCTTATGACTCTCCCTTGTAAGAATAGGAATTCTTACTGCAGCCAACCAACCTTCATGACAAGAAAAAAAAATTCCGGTGAAGTAGTACAGAGTTATAAATCACAAACTGAGTCAAATGAATTACATTTTTGCACTACTATACAGAGATAAATGCATTGGTACTATATTTGGAATATAAAATTAAAAAAAAAAATTATAGCAAAAGAAAGTTAGAGAAACCTTTCATTATCATCTACCTTGAAGAACTACATTGCATGCCAAGATCAACAAGTAGATTATCATGTTGACTAAAACAAGAAGATTGTTAACTACTAAGTGTTCAATAAATCTGTAATCCTGAAATGTGAGGGAAACATTTATTTTTGTGTTCAATTTATTAGGGCCCCAGGGATATGAATCCAAATTATTGCTATATGTACTTTTGTAGGGCAAGAGAATTACTTTTTTCAGTCTACTGTGGCACCTCCTCAGTTTTTTTCCCTGGAACAAAAGCCAGCATTTTTTAGATTTTCTTATCCTGTGCATCCTAAAGGAAACATTAAAGACTAATCACCCTAGCATTTTAGAAAGATAGCATATGATATAAAACTGCACACCTAAATCAATCTTTATCACTTCACATAAGAAAGGCAGACTGTCATGTCTTGATGATGAATCCCATATTTAATTAAAAATATAAATGTTGCAAAAATTCTAAACCACAAGCTACAAATTCCATCTCTATGCTACTGAAAAAAAAAAAAAAAAAAAAAAAAAAAAAAAAAAAAAAAAAAAAAAAAAAAAAAAAAAAAAAAAAAGGAAAAGTTGAAAAGGGAAAGTATGCTTCTCATAGACAAAGATGGGTTTTTTTATCTTTCTAAAATTTAGAGTGCGTTTAATTGAGAAAAGAACCCAAAAACATTGAGAGGCAAAATCAACTTGCTGAGACTCAGGATAACTTTCTTTAGAAACCTAAGTATAGTGACCAGTGTCTCACTTCTTCATTATATCAGCTTTTCTAAGTATAGAAATGAAGTTGTTAACAATCTGTGGCTTGTATTAAGTCTGTGTTCATATTTACTGCACTTATTTTCATTAAAAATGGAAAGCTATAAGGCTAATTAAAGGAGAAAAGTTATTAGATTCTTAATACTAAAGAAAATGGAAAGTTATGGGTGCCATAATCACCACAGTTTTAAATCAGTGCATTTGCTCTACCCCAGACAATTCTATCTTCGTATATCAAATATACTCCATACTTTTCCTTTCCTATCTAAAGCTTTGCTTCTGTGTCTTTATTCATTTATCCTCCTTCTCCCCAAACCTGCAGTATGACACAGGCAGCACTGAATGAAACTTGAGATTACAGAGAAAATGAATTTAAACTGTCTATTCCCTTCTCCCAAGTTTTGATCTAGGAGTTAAGTGGAAGTTGTGACAGGGAAATTCTAGCTACTTGTATTTGTTAAATCTATAATGAATTAAAATCCAGACGTATCTTTGACACTATCATACGTGAGAACACATTCAGACATTGTATCCTTCTATGTATTTTGGGAGAAGTACTGCAAATACTGGTGGGCCATGCTTTCTATTGCATGCAGGAGGAATATTACAATTAAGCATTAAGTACAACTGTTAAGCAATTAGTTATGAGAAATGTTTATTGACAATTTCAGCATCTTTGTCACAATTATTCAAGGAAATTTCTACACACTTTATAACCTCTAAAATGAGTAACTTAAATATAACTAATCTATGCTCATTCACCGGGATGAACATTATGTAGGCAAATTATTACATCAATAACTTGGAAAATTCAGCTGTAATTAAGAAGTCTTTGGAGACACTTGCAATTATTTAAAAAGTTCAGCTTATATATAGGCAGTTTACATATAGTTAGCATAGTCAAAAAATCATAAAATTATTTGGAAACATGCCAAAAATTATACATTCAATGTCAAGAAAAAATCTTAAAACACTTAGCATGAAACTGATACTGATGAAGGACTAGGTTTCTTGAGGAGATAACTATGTTGAATGATACATCACTGAAGTGGATGAGTAAAGACTGAATAAACAACATATATTGTTAACAAGGAATTCTGAAACTATGTATAGTGGAACTATCCAAACTGGATTTGCTGGTGCAAAAAATAATTACTAAATTATTATTAAAACATGGCAACATTACTCTGAATTATGTTCTTTTCTCATTTCATGTAATATATTGGCCCTAGTTACAGACATATTTATACCAGATGAGGGAAACTGAGATAGTTGCTTTGTCACTTCACAGTACTTAGGTTTTTATAGTGAAAGGGATTGTATAGGGATGACTTGTTATATCACAGCACACAGAAATTGGTATGAAATCTTTTTTCTAACCATTGACAGCTGACTCCCAGCATGGCTTGTGACCTGAGGGTCAGCCCGGTGCCAGCTGTATCCCTGAGAATCAGACAGCTTGAGATCAACAACTTCTTCCTGCACATCAAGATGATGATGCACCAGAAATGTTTAATTATGAAAGACAAGAGCTTTTGACTTTCCAGTTCTGATTTTGTCCAATATATCTGCAAAACATGACTATTCAAATTTAGGTGTGCTACATATTTATCATTCAGTTACATGCTATTTCACTGTCTCCACCTTTCTACTCTCAATTTCTCTTTTTTTTTCCTACTGCACTGGTGGCTAAGCCTCTAATAATTCAGTTTAGAAGACATACTCTTTGGTGGATACTGTAAAATGAGTGTCTTTATTCCAGATTGCACCATACAGAGCAAATCAGATCTCCTGCAAGAACTGTAAGCACTATATGGTTGCTGAAGTCAGCATGGTTCTAGGGAAATACAAGCAGGAAAAAATGCCAAATAGAAGAACAGAGCTGTTAATATTTTCAGAATAGCACCCCTCCTTGTCAACCACCCCCTCCCCGAAAACCCATCCAACAAATACAACCCCACTCCCAAAACACCCCTAAGAAAGCAAGAATAGCTCACACCCTGCCCCTAACTGTTTATGTTCTGTTTTGGTCTCACAGGCACCAAATATTGATTTAGTAATTAGTTGCCTTTTTGCACAAATTTGTGGTATATTTAGTTAAAGGGTCTCCAAAGGTTCCTTCCAGCCTCAATCATCCCTTTGTGCTGTTTTGGGAGAAAAAAGTAGAGGAATTGGGAATGAAAAATTAAAGCTCAACATGAGAAGAAATAGAAGGTGGAGGAAAAGGTGTTTTGCACCATCTGATTCTTTTAGTTGTTAATAATTTAAATCAATTTTGTTCAAGTAAATCAATTTTTCCAAAGTTGAACCTGTTTTCCCTCTGACAATTGCTTAATGATCTTCCTGTGTTCATCCTGTTTCCTGTGTGTATTCTTCTGAGGGGAGGAGTAAGGAAGTGACTAGGTGGGCTAGCTGTTAGCCAGGACTAAACCACACCAGGAAGACCCATGCCCATGCTCAGCACACAAGAAGAGATGAAAGGTGCTGAGTTCCATCAGCCTGAAAGACTTCAAAGGAAGCAATAATGTTGGCAGCCCTAATAAAGGCAATAAGAACATTGGCAACTCAGATGAATTTCTGGAAATGCAATGCACAACACTGCAATAAAAAATAACTTGCCATTCCATAGCACAAACAAGGTTAATAATTAAATTGAAAAATAGACCTGAATTAATCAGTTTCAATACAATTTGCAGCAGCTACCTGCCACGACCTCAGGCAGATGGGATGAGCCTGCTAGCACTGTCTGTGTGAGGCCAGGAGGCCACCATGAGAGAGGCACCCCAGGGGAACAGCGTCTGCCACCCTGATGGTGCTGAGTGTTGCTCATGGGTGCAGCTTCCATAGTTCACCATGCTGACAGGAGATGAAGGGATGAGAGGACACTTGTCTGCAAGTCCAAAGAGTCTTTATTTTCCCCAGGTTAGGCAAGAACAAAGGTGCTCTCTGAGGGGGTGAAAGAAATGCCCAGGAAATCAATGATTACATCAACTTAAAAAGGGGGTGGGCAGACAGGGGTGCAAACCTGTCTTGCCCAATGGGGATAAACCAGAGGGGGATGGTATCAATTATAAAAACCAATGATAACATAACAGGGGTGGGCACAAGATCAGGGGACAAATAGAAAAGCTAAACTGAAGTGATTGATACAGAACTTTCTGGAAGAAACTGGGGTTGGTTACAGGATTGACAGCCAAAAGGATATAAACAAACTCGGATTGATGGAACCAAATAAGTAGAAAACAGGGAGAGGTGAGAAGAGTGACAGATAACTGGGGAGCCAAGTGGTGGGA